ACATTGTCCCCTGCACCCACTTCTTGCTTGGTTGTGCCAGGAGAGGGAGTTGAGTTCAACTCTCAGATTAGGCTCTGGCTATAATATTGCAACAGTGCCAGGGAAATCAGAAAAGAACCAGATAGAGCCCTACTTACTAGTACATAGCGTTAGGCAGCCTAAAATAGGCACAGGTGCATAAGGGAAAAGTTAGATTAATTTCTTGACACTTCTTCTCTATGTCCTTCTTTATTCCCTAAAACCCATATTTTCAGAAGCATCTTAAGGTTAAATTCTGATGGAGGGAAGTGAATGGGCTTACCCTTTCTAATGAATACAATACTTTCTCTAGGCCATTCTAGATTGCTCTGTCCTGGGTAGCTTCTTCCTGGATAGCTTCTCTTTACCCAATGAAGCTCCTAGAGAGAGAATGTGGTGTTGACAAGGCTCTTCCTCCACCTCTCCTTCCTTTTGGATTCTCTTTCCTTGCATATTTTGCTTGAGCTATGTGATTAACCTCCAGCACACTAAGTGATTGGCCTTTAGTCAAGAGGTTCCTCCTTTGTGGTTCAAGTACATTCAACACTGCTGTAGCTATCTTTTTCATATGTTGCACATAGACCCTTTTAAGTCTTTTATACCTCTTGGCATGTAGAGATCATTTCACTTTGGAAGAACCTATTTCTCTGTGGTCTTAGGTTACCAGGAAGACTGGTGTGGTTGGAATTTGTGAACTGGGATAGTAATAGTTATTATTTGTGTGTGCTTTGGAATCTAGTCTCGTTCTACTCTGTGAAAGTTGCCAGTTTTCCTTTCCTTTTTCTTTTTCTAAGGCCTAGAACATGAGCCTTGCAGGATATAGCAGGCATGGGTGGTGATGGTAGTGTAGAAAGGCCTTGAGACTTGAGCATTGTTCCCCTTCTGAAGGGAGGATTGGGACAAAGAGCAGCATAACATAGCATTTCCTGGCCTTCAGCAGAACCTGAGTGCTGCCCCGCCAATCCAGGCAAAGGATGAAGAGGCCAAATTTAAGGGTCTTTGGGGGCCAGAAAAGCCTTCCTTTCCAGTCATCAGATAATTACAGTGAAGAGTGTCTTGACTTCTCATGTCCCTACCTTTGTCATGCTCCCCCCTTCACTGCTCTCAAATGACAGGTTTCTTTCTATTCTCACAAACTGCCAGGTCACTTTGCCGAGAGCCCTGCTTCCACAGTTGGCAGGCTTTGGCTGCCACTGTCACTGTTTGGGTTTTTCTTCGTGAATCCCAAGTCATCCGTCCTTTTTACTTCCAGATTTCCTCAGGAGTTATACATCTCGATTTGGTTGTTCTGAATGCAACAAAACTATGTGTGGAAGCCACCCAATGTGCTGAGTTAGAACTGCAACAGCAGCAGTATTCCTTCGACACTGCCCCCGATGCTCTGGGAACTCCAATGCCTCAGGTTTCTCTCAATCAGTCCTGAAAATCCCATGAGCGTGACTCTCTCATGCAGTACTCATCATTTTCCTGCCCAGCTGCTCTTCTGGATAAAGATGGGGCTGCTGCCAATGTTCAAATTATTAGGTAGGCCATAGCAGTCGCCAGAAGGTCCTGTGACTGGAGCATAACTATGGATATCCAGGCTCAGGTCCCAGGAGGTGCTTGGGCCAAGGCATTGAAAACATTGTCATCAAGCCTGCAGCTGCAGTCAGCAACACCATGGGTAACCAGGAAGGTGTCACCTATCTTGGTATATGTATGGGTGGGACCTAGGGGTAGCTCTTCCTAGTCATTTAAGTTCTGGTAACTGTCTAATTTCCACTTTTCTTTTCATAGGCTGGACTATGGGAGAACTCAGGAGAAGGGAAGACTCAAACCATCCCTAGGGCTGGACCAGGAGAAAGGCTCTGCAAGAGTTAGGAGAGAAGAAAAGTGTGTGTGTATGTGTGTGGGGGGAGGTGGGATAATAGAATTAGAATCATAGCCCCAGTCAAAAATTCGATGCTGATTTTCCAAATTGAACTCACAGAGTGAGGTCAGCCAATGTAGGGGCAGAGAAAGTTGAATAGGTCGGTTATTCTACCCTCCCACACTGAGCCCAAACCACCTGTATGTAATTCTGATCAATGGCCTTCCAGAGGCTGTTTGTACACTTCCAACATGAGTGTACTGTAGCATTTCTGATGTGGCACCCACACTTTTCTTGCTTTCTGTCGCGCAACTGACGACTCCGGAGACGGTCTTCTCTTCAGCACTTTATTTCCCCAGGCTATGTTACAGAAGTTCTTCCTCCTTTCCCTTTCCCCGGGGCCTTATAAAGGGCCCCTAGCCAATTAGATCATTGTCCACATGCACGGAAGCCAGTCCTCGAAAGAGGATTGGTTGCATGCGGTGTTCCCGTGCTCTCCATGCTCCCCACTGCCCTACTTCCTTAAAGTCGTTTACTGCTTTGAGCACTCAGCAGGCTTCCGTTGAGCGCCATTTTGAAATAGGCACTGAGGGCGATGGGCGGGGGCGCTCCACAGCTTTCCACAAAATAATAATAATAAATAAAACAATAAAAGAAAAGTAAAAAGCATTTATCTTCCCATCACACACTGTGAGTTCCCAGGAACATGTTTCAGGAAGGTCTCTATCTCCAGATGGCCCTTGGCCAACCCATGGCCATCTCTGGGAGTTCTTATTTTCTTGTGATGTCACTATTGTTACACCTCTAGCCTTATCAGCTACTCATCAAATGGGGGCCAGCATGCCATTAAAGTGACAAATAGGATCAAGAGAGAAAGGAGAGAGTGGGGAGGAGATAAAGGCACAAAATACGTATCCATCAAGAGACAGAGGGAGGGAGCAACAAAGAGTGTTTTCAAAGATAGTGTTCAGGCTTCTAAAGGACACCTAGGTTTTAAGTGCAGGGAGAAGATGATCACTCATTCATCACACCTTCACCCAGCAAACATTTACCAAATGTCTACTGTGTGCTGGGCATAGTACTGCAATGTGGATATTCAGAGACAGAGACAAGACATTGCTTCTGCCCAAGGGTCATCAATGCCATAGATTAGGGCTATTGGAATGAAAAAGACATGCCCAGGATGGGTTTGGGGGTCAAGTACAGGGGATGGAGGCAGAGGACATGGCAAGCTTCAGGCCTGAGTAACAGTTGACTTTGGGGCTGAGGGTAGCTTAGGGTTCCAGGCAGGGCAGAACCATGAGCAAAAGCACAGAGGTGTGGCAGTTTGGGGTGGGATCAGAGAGCTAAGAGGAACATGGGTTCAGCCATGTGGGGCTGCTAGAGTAGGATGACCAAGATGGCGGGTGGGTAGCCTGTGGTGGCCTCAATTACCATGTGGAGGAATTTGGACTTTATGCTCCAGGCGATGGGGCAGTTTATGGGGGACAAGTGAGGCTAAAGAGGGGAGTTCATTTAAAACTTGGTCTAGAAACACAAACACAAAACCATGTGGAGGGATAGTACCATTAACGTGTGATGTGCTTCCAGTCCTGATAGGAAGGAAAGACAAGAATTCACACACCAATGATTGGGTTAAAGGGACTTCTTCATCCATCTAGAAAGTAGTAGCACTGAAACCCTATTTATTTAGAACTTTGACACAGTGACTTCTCTTTGCTTTGAAATATATCCTATAAAATCATTATTTTTTTTTAGCTGTGGACTCAAGGCAAGAGCTGTGATAGGTCATTTTAGTTGTTTCATCAAGACTTGTATATATGCTGATCAATTACTGTCCACTAGCCCTTTATCCTTTCCCCCTTCCCCCTTCCTTCCCTCCCTCTGGCCCTGCCTTTTTGCTTTCTTCTGATATTGATCTCCCATTCATAAATGCAAGCAAAGACTCATTAGTAATCCTTCCAACCATAGGAGCTTCTGATCGACTAGCCTTTTAGTTAAGACACAGAGAGAGGCCTACTAGACTGAACTCCTTCATTAGTAAGAACAGAAGAGAATGAATGGAATGAGGAGTAGAAACATGCCCAAAGTGAGGATCGAGGACTCCTTGTTACAGAATTAGGTTATGGGGGTGGGAGGGCTCCAGCATGGAGAATATGTGCAGTACAGATCTGCAATGTAGATAATCAACAATGTAGTCAAAAGGCAGATGCTCAAACTTGGCTCCTCTTCAAACACTATCAGCAGAATGACTTTTAGAAGAGAAAATATCAATTTGGGCAATAATAATAGCAAGACCCCCACGATGGGACAGCAAATTACTTGTCAAGGTAAAACCTTCGCTTCTACCTCTCTCTAACTTCCAAACTACAGTTTTATCATTCTGTTTCTTTACAGGCCCATGCAAAGGGTAGGGGTGCAGGATAAGAGGAACTGGTCTGCCATAGACGATCCTAAAAGGCAAAGTTCCATAGATACAGCTGGATAGGGCCTTAGTGACATGTTTTTGGCAATAGAAAGTACCTTTTTACTGGGCTTTGTGTTCTCACTTTGGCCTTCAGAGGAACAAAACTAGGGCACAGTTTTTTGCGTTTCCATTTCCAGGCTTTCCCTGCTTGTCTTGAATACAAGGTACAATATAAATCACTTCTCCGTTGAGCTGAGCCTACTAAGTTCAGAATTTTCACATTCCAGGTCTGTGCGTTTGAGACATGTCCTGTTGTTCATCTTAGTTCTTTTTTCATCTGGGTTTGTGTAAGTATTTTCTAGTTGCTTTTCCCTTCCTTTCTTCTTTCCCTCCCTCTCTTCGTCCCCTCTTTATTTCTGTCCCTCCCTCCCTCTCTTCTAGCTCCATTATCTGCCCATGGCCCATGTGCCAGGCTCAGCTGGAGTGCTAAGATAAATTAAGTGGCCTATGATCAAGTGGGAGATAAATGAGAACATGTGTAGTGAGTACAGAAGAAGAGTCAAGTATTCATTAGGAATATGAAAGCAGTCATTCTGAAGCCCCTAAAGGCCCTCCCCCAGAACCTGAGGGTTTGCTGCAGCACCTGTCTTTGCCAAGGTTCCATTCAGTTAAACCGCTTTTTGGGCAGTTCCTCTTAAAGAGCACTTTGCAAATTACACTCGCTCTGTGTCTGATGACATCTTGAATGCAAGCTTAAGATCTAATTTTTCCAATTCTCATCATTTATTTTTCCTGTTACCTGTGATTTGTATGGCATTGGTTCTATCCTTCAGTATGAATTTCATGATGACTCCTAGGGCCAAATGTTTTCTAGGCAAAGAGGTAACATGTTTGTTTTTTTAATATAAGCTTGAGGGAAAAAGCTACTCTGAAGTGCTGGCACAAATTTATTTTTTTTATTTAGGCAACTGATGAGTTGCTTAGCAGTGGAGGAGACAAGAATCATAGTTCTTGCCCTGTATATCAGAAATCTTGTGATCTAGTTGAAAGTATCAGACGAAGAAAAACAGCAGAATATAAAAAGAGTGTGCATTCACTGGGTGTTTTTTAAACTTTTGCATTGCAGAAGTATTAATGAACAGAAGCTAAGTTTGGAAGTAAACTTTGAGCAATTGGGCTAACATTGTGATCTTGATATTATTGGTGAGAATTATTTTCCCTTCCTCATGACAATATTAAACGATAGTTCTTGGCTTCGCAGTTTTAAATTTTCCTGGGTTGGTTAACCTTGCAAAAGAAGTGATTTTTCAGTGGTAATTTTCATTCTCTTAGGATGACAATGACATTCCCTTCAGACCATCATCAATAAACACACACACATACACACACTCACACTTTCCATATACCCAACCAATAATTTCTGAGCCATTCGATGGTAATACTTGCTAGTTTTCACAACCTTATTTTCAAAGCAAAGCAAAAGGAAAAAAATTACTCTTTTTTATTGATAACAAATAATAGTACACTTAAAGAAAAAGCCAAGGAAATAATTTTATGGCGCTCTTACTCCATTCTCCTCCCACAAAAATGCAAGCAAATTATAGAAATGTTTAGGATTTTTAAGTTAGGGTTAGGATTTTTAATTTAAAAAGTCAGTGGTGTGGGTAAAAGGCAGTGGCCAAAATTAAACCTCAGAGCAAGGTGTCTAAGCTCCTATGAAGTTGCTGATGTGAAGGTCGAATGCCCATGTCCCCGGATAGAAGAGTTTTGCAATGTACAAAATTAAAATTCTCTCATCACCAAAGTTAGTAAGGGAGAGAGGAAGGGGAAGGAGGAAGGGTAGTCAAAGGTCACTGAAGACACAAAAACTTCATCATCCCTCCTCTTCCCTTTTCACTCAAAATTTAATAAAATGATAAAGGCCCCCAATGAAATTTAACATATAATTAAAAAATCATTTAGAAGGAAATACTATTGGACCAGATGACTATTGAATTTTATGTTTCCTAAAAAAGAATTTTATGTTTCCTAAAAAAGAGAGCTTGGGTATAGGAAAATAGTCCTCAAGCTGTTGTTTTTATTGTATTTCATGATATTCCTCTCTTTTTCCTTCATTTTTAAATTCAGAAGCTTGTCAGACTTCTCAATTTTCCTTCTCTCTATGTTGACATTTTCCTTTCTCCAAGATTCTGGTTTTATTTCTCTCATGCCTCAGGGATATTGTCTTTGGGGAGAGATGGTTTGGGTTTGATTCTTGACTTTGCCACTTACTAGCTTTGTGATCTTGGGCAAATTAGTTAACCTTGTTTGGCGTGTATTACTATACTCTTTTATAAAACAGTAATGATAATCCCTACCTCACACAATTATTATGAGTGTAAATGGAACTAATACATGTCAAATGCATAGTACTTGTTGGTGCCTACAGGCACTTAATAAATAACAGTTTTCATCCTTGGAAGGACAATTCTTGTTTCTTTTTTTTAATAATTATTATTTTTATTTCTAAAGCTGTGTTCTCTGTTGGAGCTTTCAATAATTCCATTTTTCTCAGTTTTGTGAGGTCATTGGGCCTCTCTCACATTGTCAGCATGTCTACCTTCTTGAAACACTTTCCTAAGTGAAGGCATCCAGACTCGGTGAGTTTCTCTTTGTGACTTGGGTGATGTGGGAAAAGCAGACTCAGTCAGGAAATGAGGTACCTGTGGATTTGCTAGAAACCCAGGAGATGATTAGAGAAGGACTTGGTTACTCTGGGTCCCTTTGTCTAACCATGAGACAAGGCTGTGAAAGTAGGAAGAGCCCTCTACCTGTGCAAGTAGACTGCAAAGTCTAGAACTTTGGAACATGTCAAGGCAGGAGGAGAAACCAGCAAAAGAGACTTAGAGGACGTTAATAAAGCAGGGGCCGGGGGGAGAGAATTGGAAGAATGGAGTCAGAGATGCTAGAAGTGAGGGCTAAGACAGGGACTTTTGAGAAAGGAGTAGCCCAATATTCTTGTAAGATCTGAAAGGTGTCCTTTGTCTCTGAGTTTGTTTTTTGGGAGGCAACCTGTAAACTTTGCTGGAACATTTTTATCTGAGCTATAGAAGGCACTAAAGCAAGCAGGTATAGTGGATTTCTTTGACAAGTTTGGCAGGAGGATGGTACAGTCACTGGAGAAAATGGAAGATTCACAGAGACTTTTATTTTTTCCTTAACTATGGCAAATATTGGGACATATTTATAAGCTTCACAAAGGGAGCCTGATGAGATAGGCTGAGAGAGAGGAAGCACTTGGGGGCTAAAGGGTGAGTTAGGGCCCTGGGCCAGGAAAAGAGGAAAAGGAGAGACAATGCCTTGGTCGTGGTGTTGCCTTGAACATGAGAATAGACAATGTTCTGTAAAGGAGATGGAGAGAGAAGATGGACTTAGATAAATCTGTGGGCCTTGAAGATTTCCTGGCCCTGTTGAGGTCTTTATTTTCCTTAGTGAAATAGGAGGCAAGGCCAGCTTCCTGAAGGCAGAATGTTGGGGATGGGATGAGGATTTGGGAAAACTGTTGAAGGTTTGGAAGAGCTATGGTGGGATATAGGAGGGGGTTGCTATGGGACGCTGAGATCCTAGTAAAGGCTAGAGACCCTGTGTGGTGACTTTCTTAAGCAGTGCTCAACAGCACAGAGGTAGGAGCCTGGGAGGGGGAGAATGTTTGACTACTGATCCAAGGTTGGTAATAGGCAATTGGGACTGGGAGAGGGAAGGGGCTAGGGCACTGGGGACATAGGGAGCAGTGGGAAAGGGAATTCACTGTAAATCTCACTTTGAGGTCTCACAGAATGGGAAGGGAAGCCACAAAGAGGAGATTGGTTGGGAGGAGAGGGGAGTACAGGATCAGTGAGGCCCAAGAGCTGGTGTAAGGGGAGGAAAGTAATACGAGTGGGAATGGGAAAGCTAATGAGAGAGGTTGGCCAGGTCTTGGAATTTAGCATCCCAAGATGGTGCCATTTTAAATGATCTGGCTGTTAAAAAAAATAGAGCTCGAATTTTTCTAGCAGGTCTTTCTTGAGCTTTCTTATAGTTCAAGTCAGGACTAGAACTATACTTTCCCACCTCTTGACAGGGCAATTCACTTTCTGAAATTATTCAGAGTGGTGATAAGGGTAGCCCACACATTTTTTCTTTCTCTAGCACTTAGGGATTCTGAGTATGAGTTTCTTTATTTGTTTTATTCCTCTTCACTTCCTTTTTCGATATAGAATATCTGTTTTAAAAGGTCACCCACACAATTGTAGGCAGTTACAGACCTTGAATATATAGTGATACCTCCCTCTACCCCAATTCTTGAATTCTTGTCTGGCTAGCCAGATCTAAGGTTTTGCTTTGGCTATAGTAGTCTGGGACAATAAGAATGTCCTTCAAATGAAACATACTCCTTCACTCAGGCTCTTTCTCTGCCATGGAGACTTATGGTTTGATCCTTGGTTTGGCCACCAGTGTGTTCCTGAGACTGTGAAACAGAGGTGTATTCTCAGGGTGGCTTTTTCAGGGAATCTGCTATTTTCTATGAGCATCACTTCAGAGGAAGTATACTTTTTGGGTAAAATTGTTCCTTTTGATATTTTGCTCTTTCTCTGAAGCTTGCAATCTGGAAGGCAGAGGAATTAAAAATTAGTTCTGAATTTGAGCCAAATGGAGTCCAAACATCCAGAGTGTATGGAGCCTCTGTGATTCTTCCATAAAAGATTCCCCCTTCCTGGCATGGTAGGATATTCCCTCAATGGGCACTCAAAAGTTGGACAAGTTTATATGGATCTCTAAATCAATGGGAGAAAGAATCTGAAATCTCTTCCAGCCCTGCAATGCTATGGTATGAGCATATCTGAACACACCTATATACTCTTGTCCAGTTATATAAATGGTAATAAGAAAGGTGTGGGGATCTTTGATTGACTCAGGAAAAGAGCAGGTGCAAATGCTTCCTTTGGGAAGGAAGTAAATGTATCTCTGCAGGTACACCTAATTCATGTGTGTCTTGTATTCATAAAACACTGGAAACTAGAAATGAGTCTCATCACCATAATCTACTTAACCAATCTGCCCTGCAGTTCATCTGTTTGTACAATTGCATTTATAGATTGAATGTAGGAAGAGCCTAGTTACTGTTCCCTAACACCTTCAGCATGCATAATTTACCTAGAGCTGGTAGCAGTGTGATCTCTTTTCTCTTCCTGACATTCCTCTGTTTCCTAATAGTTTGAATTTCTAAAGAAAGTAATTAGGAAAATCTATAGTTCTCTTTCAGTTTTGTTCTGTTTCTGGGGTGGTTTTCATGCTGATTTTTCTAGAGAGAAACTGAATGTGTCATCCCACTGTGTGTCACTTCCTATCTTAGGCTCTCCTCCCTGCTTCTCCCACATTTTGCCAAGTGTACAGTTCACAAAGGTACTGAACATCTTTCATAATAGTCTCTGGTCAGGGGTGAGTTCTTCACCACCAGATTAAATTTTTCTTACTTTGGGTCATCATCAGGCAAAATTGGTTTTAATGAATTATGCCAATCCATGGAATACAGAAAGATACCAAATCTGGAAATGTCAAGGTCCTTACTGCACAAAGTGTAGATTGTGGACCAGCCATCTCATGAGCATCACCTAGGAGCTCTTTAAAATCCCAAATCCTAGGCCCCAGCCCAGACATAGATACTGAGATCGTCAGGTGATTCATATGCACATAAAAGTTTGAAAAATATCAGTTCAGATGACAAGGAAGGAGTACAGAACAGCCCCATCTAAGTGAGTGGAGAGGACCGGAAGAAACCCATTTATTGAGACTCTTAGCTTTGTCCTTCACCCTATTTGATTTACAGAACAGAGACTATCTTAGAAGCTATTTTGCTTCAAAAA